GCATGTAAAAAATGCAAGTAGAAAAATAGGGACCACCTTTGGTGGGAAGGTAACAGCGTTCTGTGCACATTTGGTGTTTAGTCATGCCGGCCACATGACCACGGAGACGTCTTTGGACAGCGCTGGCTCTTCGGCTTTGAAACGGAGAAGAGCACCGCCCCCTAGAGTCGAGAACGACTAGCACATATGTGTGAGGGGAACCTTTACCTTTATAGTATTTATATTATTCATTGTGAAATTAATTGTAATTTTATAGCATTTCTTTTCTTTCTTTTTGCATTTTAATACCTGCGCTCTATAATTTTACTTTAGTCATTTTATATTTGCCTTATTTTATTTTATCAATATGATTTTATTTTAATACAATTGGTAAGTTATTAGTTTTACGCAGGTCTATGATTGAAATAAAATTGATCAATTGATATATAATTGAGAAATTAAGAAAGCCACATTGAATTTTGTTTTTGATTGCTGTGTTTAGCCTACTTCAGGCTAATTCTCTTCTCATAATTAAGGGTTGGTTCTCATCAGAGGTGGGTTTCAGCAGGTTCTGACCAGTTCTGGAGAACCGGTAGCAGAAATTCAGAGTACTTCAGAGAACCAGTAAATACAACCTCTGCCTGGCCCCACCCTCATCTATTCTCTGCCTCCCGAGTCCCATCTGATTGGGAGGAAATGGAGATTTTGCAGTATCCTTCCCCTGCCACACCCACCAAGCCACGCCCACCAAGCCATGCCACGCCCACCAAGCCACACCCACAGAACTAGTAGTAAAAAAAATTGAAACCCACCACTGGTTCTCATGGTTGACCTTCTGGAATTTTCTAAGATGTCTGTGTCTTTTATCACATGATTCTCCTTGATCTTATGATCTTAGCATGGAGTAGCTAAAATTTGTGTCTTTATTCCTCTGCATGTTTGATTTTCCTCTCAGCAATCGTAATGATTTTTCCTGTTTTCCAAATATATTTCGTGGTATTCCCTTTTCAAATTAAACTGTAACCTGTAATATTTGCAGCAGCTTTATGTGCTAATAAGTCAATACAGATGTTGTTTTTTGCCGAGTTTCTTGTTACTGAGTTGAGACTCCATTTATAAATCTCTGCTAAAACTGTAAACAAATTTTCTTTTTGTATACAGAAGGCCAGTACAATTTAATAACATTTATACAGCATTTTCCCAGCTAGTAGCAGGTTTCTTAATATGGTTCTGTCCACGTGTGTAGGTGGGTAGGTGCTGTTTTGTTTTAATTTTTAAAAATTATGGTTGTATTTTTTCTTCCTGGACAGATACACTGAGTAGGTGTGATCTCAGCTTATGGAAGAAAATTTTCAGAAAGAATCATAGTCCATAGCATAACATGACATCATGAAAGAATGTATTATGTGTGTTTCTCTTAAGTATATTCTGCTCTGTAGGCAGAATAAGGACCAGAAGGTGATGGCAGGACGTTTCAGTGAATGTTGCAGAATAACAAAATAACAGAGTTGGAAGGGACCTTGGAGGTCTTCTAGTCAAACCCCATGCTTACGGAGGAAACCCTATACAATTTTGGACATGTGACTATCCAGTCTTTTCTTAAAAGCCTCCAGTGGTGGAGCATACACCACTTCTGAAGTCAATCTATTCCACTGGTTAGTTGTTCTCACTGTTAGGAAGTTTCTTCTTAATTCCAGGATGCTTCTCTCCTTGATTAGTTTCCATCCATTATTTCTTGTCCTACCTTCAGGTGCTTTGAAAAATAGGTTGACCTTCTCTTCCTTGTGGCAGCCCTTCAAATACTGGAATACTGCTATCATGTCTTCCCTAGTCCTTCTTTTCTCTAGAACAAGGGTCTTCAACTTTAAACATTGAAAGAGCCATTTGGACCAGTTTCCCACAGAAAAGAAAACATTGGGAGCCACAAAACCCTTCCCGTGCCTGACTATTTTTTGAGCGGCCACAAAACTTGCATATGTAGTTGAATTAAATGTTCTGTTTTCTTCTGAAACTTTTCTTTTTTTGGATTTATCCATGGTTGGCCTACCGGGGATTGAAAAGCTCAATAAATCGTGTGCTGGTGGGTGTCGCACATTGGCGGTTGTGATGTATATTTTGAGTGACAGGGAGCCGCAGCAGAGGGGTGAAAGAGCCACATGCGGCTCCAGAGCTGCAGGTTGCTGACCCCTGCTCTAGATTAACCATACCCAATTCTTGCAACCGTTCTTGATATGCTTTAGTCTCCAGGCCGTTAATCATCTCTGCACTCTTTCCAGAGTCTCAACATCTTTTTTTATATTGTGGTGACCAAAACTGGATTCCGTATTCTAAGTGTGGCCTTGCTAAGGCTTTATAAAGTTGTACTAGTATTTCATGTGCTCTTGATTTTAAAGGCTTAAGAGAACTCAACGGCAAAATAGCTGAGGACAAGAGAAAGAGAACGGGATACGAAAGGCAAAGAAAGGGCACTTGGATGAATCCAACATTGAAGAAATAATTGATTCAAATTGTGAAATTTATTTCAGATAAACGATATGCATATGGTCAGAGAGATAGGGCTGGTTTTTGCAGTGTTTGAAAGAATTAGCCCGCTGCTTTGGACTTGTGCAGTTCCATGATGTTGACTCTGTGTAAAAATCCTCTTTTGTAGCTCCTGGATTTGTGCTAGTAATAGTTGGTTTGTTAATGTTCTCGTGTGTGTATGTGTGTGGGGTGGATGAGTCTTTTCCCCTTGCTCCGTGATTCTAGGATGTTAGAAAGCTGATAGCCTGTTTCCCTGAAAATAAGACCTCCCTGGATAATAAGCCCAATCGGGCTTTTGAGTGCATGCGCTAAAATAAGCCCCCCCAAAAATAAGCCCTCCCCGAAAATAAGCCCTCCCCAAAAATATTTAAACGCCTGCGCAGCTGGTCCCCGCCATTTCCTCTGGTTAGGGTTAGGGAGACAGAGCTGGAAATCCGGTAAGACGGCAAGAGGAGCCCCGTCTTGCTCCACACGCCCCAAAATAATAAGACCTCCTCGAAAATAAGGCCAAACACTTATTTCGGGGTTCAAAATAATATAAGACAGGGTCTTATTTTCAGGGAAACACTATATGACTCAATCCACTTTTTAAAGGCCGAAGAAAGAAAAGTGGTGGTATGATATGAACCACTTTATCTTTCATTAAATAATTATTTATCTAATATTGTGAATCAATGCTTGAGAGCCTGTGCTTAGATGACAGAAAATATTAATAGAGGGGAGTGGAGAAAGATTGTGAAAAGCATATTAAGGTTTTTAGCTCTAAGATTAACGGTGTGACTGTCCACTCACTATTTTCATTGTAACACAAACATCTTGGCATTCCTAGGCAAATTAATACCTATAGTGGGATGAAAATGTGTTATCACCGTTCAGGTCAGAGGCAGACCGAATTGTGTTATGTGATAAGTTGTAATTCTATCAGACTCCCTTTGAAGATTGTTTGTTGAAGAATAATTTCTTTAAGATCTATTACAAGCTGTCCTTGGAAATGGGCAAATATCTCCCACTGTGTTCTGACTATAAACTCCTTCTGATTTTAGGTTTGACTCGGGATTATTACTTTACATAAATAACTGGCTCTTTTGGCCTGCCAAGATTAGCTCTTCCAGATCCGTTACAGGGTAGGCTAGCAATGTTCATATTTTGTGTTCCAGCAGGAAATATTTGCTGTCTTGAGAACAAGGCAAGAATTCTCCAAGGGGAAAGGGGGTGATAATGAAGAGGCTTTCTTGGAAAATTGGCTTTTTATGGGGATGCTTAGTGAGAAATAGATCTGTGTGACTTTCCATGGAACATTTTTTTTAAAAAAAAATAATCATGTTTTAAATCAAAATCGTGTTTCTAGAATATTCAGAAACTGCAAAACAAAACAAACAAACAAATTCCATTGTTAAATTCTATTTAGCCTTTTTATTTTTGAGGCACATGCACATCTCAATTGCATTAATTTAATGGAATGGATTGATTTCAATTTGTCCAAGAATCTCTTTTGTTTCGCAGAACCTGTGTACCTAATCCGAAGTTAAAAATTTGCTGATTTAGGATATGTTTGTTGCTGTTTTATTTTTATTTTGTTTCCTTTTATGACCCTCTTGGTTGCGGGGTAGAGCCGGGGCGATTGGATGGAGTTGAGCATTTACTGGCTGGATGCCTTTCCCGATGCCTACACGGAAGTTCACAGCAGATATTTTCTCTTTGCACCCTGATAAAGAAACATCTGCCACTGCCTAGATTTGAACTCTCAACCTTCCGAATGGGAGGGAAGCATCTTCACCTCTAGGCCACCGCCCTGCTCCTGCCATTGTTTTATATGAAGTGATAGATAGATTGCATGACAATTTGAAAAGTGACAAGCACACGAATTCTTGGGTTCGCATTTCAGTTTTGAATTCTCCAAAGTAAAGACATGAATACTGGAAAAGATTAAATTCTGACTTGAAAAAAGAAAGTGTTTCGCAGCCACTATTACCTAGGCCCAAACTTGAAGCTTCATCTACATTTTTAATATTCAACCTCACGTGCTACCTTTCTGCTGGAGGCTTCTTAGCATGAGCCATTAGCTGCCTGTTGGATGTAACCTTCCCATGTCTTACACACAGCTGCACACGAGCCTTTGTACAACACAGCCTTCGTCTCATGCATTGCAACTAAAACGGCTGTTAACTTGTGATCAATGATCATATGATCCATTTAGAGTGTACAAGTTCACTCAAGTTGAACTGGTAAATCATTATCTCCCCCCAAAAAATGCCCTCCACGCTCTTCCTGCTGAGTAGAACATCAGGCTAACATAATTCCACCCCCGGTCACTTAGCAGCTCACAATGTGCTCTTAGTAGTTCTAGAATGGTACAGCGGTAGGCCTTCAGATAAATAGACTAACAGAGTAGGCAGATCATAACAGAAGGCAAGGAATTCTCAGGGGATTTTGCTATTGACATTAAAGTAAATGCTTTACAATACCAAGCAACTGGAATTTGTTGGGATGGATACTTCACTCTAAATTGTTGGAAGCACGGAATCACTTCTTCAAAAATATAAGCGTTAGAGTTGGGGTATTTTATTTTATTTATTTTATTATAATTTATTTGTCAGGTTTGGGGACTGTCACTCTCGGAGATTATTCAACTAACTTGTAGAAACATCTCAAGAGGTTTAAGAGAGGTGGGATTCAGCTGGTTCAGCCCGGTTCGGGCGAACCGGTAGTTATGGCCAGTGGCCCAGGCGCTATCCCATCTTATACAATCGCCGTGTTTTGATGCTGCGCACATGTGCGCAAGGCGCACACCTGAGCAAAGCTATCCTGTCCTATACAATCATCAAGTTTTTGACGCAGAACGCATGTGCGCTCACATTTTCAATTCTGGGCAAACCAGTTGTTAAATTATGTGAAGCCCACCTCTGGCTTTAAGGACTATTTGCATAAAACTCGCAGCCTAGCTCTGTGTTATACACACACAAGCACCCTATTCATTGCTGGAAATCTTTTTTCTTTCCAGTCTTCTGTTCTTATTCTTTTTAGCCAGCCTCCACAGACAAATGAACAAACATTTCATAATCAATTACAATTCTTCATATTTTTGATACAACTCCAAATGTTGGGTTTATGACAAAGAAGGATCTCTCTCTCTCTTTTTTTTAATATAGTGATTGATCCAGAGTTCTATGAATGATCCAGTCCAAAATGTAAAGAATGAAACCGCTTTATTTTCCAAATCTTGAGTTGCTTCTTCAGCAGCAAGGCTCTTGTAAGAGTTATTTCCCAAGGTATCTAGTATGCAAAATTTTTGTCTCTTTTTGCATCAACCACATTTTAACATAGGAAACCAACGTTGAGTTGTTCAAAGTAATCCTTTATCAGTTTGGTTCCAGAGGTCACATAAATAACCAGTGTCAATTTCATGAATTTCCAGCGTTTTTTTTTTTTTTTTTAAAGTTTCTGGCTTAGAAGACACCTTTAATTCTTCTCAATGTTTCAATCGTCATGGAAGATAACAGAGGCTCCAATAGAAGAGGATATTTGTAGTTCAGGGTTGAACTGTGGGGTCCTTGGTACTCTCTGAGCTTGGTTATTACTTGCACACATTTCAATACCCAAGTAGGAACATCATTAGTGCTAGAGGGGAGTGGGATTTACATATTCCTAGGAGTGGTGATATTACCTAGTTGGTAACTATTGAAACGTCTGCAAGAAAACAACCAAAAATCAAAGTCTCCATATAACAGAGACCAGTTAGTTGGGCAAGAAATTTTTGAGATGAATAGAGATTTCCATCACAGGTGTGGTGTCAGGGCCAATGGTTCTTAGTCAATAGGCCAAGTCATCCGTTGCAGAAAGCTGGGTCAATCATTTCATATATATTGTACTACATAATATATACTATATTACATTTACAGAATGACAGAGTTAGAATGGACCTTGGAGGTCTTCTGGTAATTTCATACTTGAGTATATACTTTTGACATTAGCTACCCCTTGACCTATACTCATTACTTTGGAAACTGGACCGATGAGGATACTAATTGTTCCAAGCACTGGCAATGATGGCGCAGTGGTTAGAATGCGGTATTGCAGGCTAATTCTACCCACTGCCAGCAGTTCGATCCTAACCCACTCAAGGTTGACTCAGCCTTCCATCCTTCCAAGGTCAGTAAAATGAGGACCCAGATTGTTGGGGGCAAAATATGCTGGCTTTGTAAACTGCCCAGAGAGGGCTGGAAAGCACTGTGAAGTGGTATATAAGTCTAAGTGCTATTGCTAATCCAAGGTATTGATTTTAAACCATAAAGACACATGATGCTTATGATGTGACCATCTCTGCTTTCAAGTTGACTCTGGCCTGTCTGGGTAGTGATTCACTCAGGGGTGGGCTTCAAAAATTTTAGCAAGGGGTTTTCTGCCTGGTTGCTGGGTGGGCATCGTCATGGTGGTCATGGCCTCCTGCACCACGAGGGGGGGGTTTGCCCTCCCCGGGCTCCAGAAGCTTTCCTTGAGCCTCCAGAGGCTTTCGTTGCACCTCTAGAAGGGCAAAAACAGCCTCCCCAGGCTCTGGAGGCCCTCTGGAGCCCGTTTCTGGCCTTCCTGAACTTCCAGTAGGCCCATTTTTCGTCCTCCCCGAGCTTCCGCGTGTGCCCTACACTTACCTGCATCCAAAACAGCATGGGGATTCCTGGGAGGGGACGGGTAGGTGGAGCCAGCCAGGAGTGGGATTTGGGGGTTCTCCAAACTGCACAGAATCTTAGCTAGAGGTTCGCCCGAATCCCTGCAAATCCCCAGCAGCCCACCCCTGGATTCACTGAATTTTCCCAGTTCAGGAGGCAGAGGGTCTGGAAATCAGAATAAATTGCTTCTCTCTTGCAGTCTTGACCTCTGCGTTACTCCAACTAGTGCTCACTTGAGCCACCTTTTGGATAACAATAAAAGCAGGACATTTTAATGGGCTGTTGGCACTGGTTAAATGTTTGTAATATTAATTAGAGTTTACGCTTGTTTCTTTGCAGGGTGTAGAGGTCACTCCAGTCAGAAGTAACTCTTAGCGGAGTTATTCTAATGCTTGTTGTTTTTATTGTTTGATTTGTGAATCATCTAGGGACAGTTAAAACATTTTAACTGGAAAATAGCGAAATGAGGAAGTATTAAATAATAATTAAAAGCAATTTTGTTGACTCTGTTGCCTTGTTGCAATTAGGCCGAAAAGCACCGATCCTTTAGATTACAGATTCAGGCTTTGAAGGCACGAATGACATTTGAACAAATACATTTCTACCAGTGGTGAAATGTAAAATTTGTTACTATGGGTTCTGTGGGCGTGGCTTGGTAGGGGGGTAATGTGACTGGGTGGGCAGGGCCAACTTTTTTTTTTTTTTACTTTTAAAAGCATTTTTTCTACAACCTTAAGAGGTAGCAGGAAAAAAATGCTTTTAGAAGCCTCTGACGATCCCAGCCGCACGGCTCAGCTAGGCGGGGGGGAGGAATTTTTGCTAGCGGTTCTCCGAACCACTCGCTGCCATCACTACCGGATCGGGCAATCCGGTCCGAACCAGGAGCATTTCACCCCCGATTCCTACTTAATTTTTTGCTTTAAAAAGTCCCAAGATAAGGGCATTTGTATACACAGGAGGGCACATTTTGCATGCTTGCCTTTACAATGTCGATCTTCGTGGAATGTTTCAAGGAACGGATATCTTGGAAAGATACAAAGTTTTATTACATTTTTAGAACAGATTATCCTTGTCAACCAGATTAAAGCATTCTGGCTTCTTTCTGCAGCTGTATGAACAATGGAAGTGAGGACATAATGTAGCGCTTTACAGAGAGCAGCTTATCAATTTTGACATTAAGTGTGTGAGGAATTGCAAGAAAATGTGAAGCAACTGAGAGGAATAACTGGGTTCGACAGAACGATCTGAGTAACATGACAACAACAGAGGCCAATGAACCCCACAGAATGGAAATCACCAGATTTGCTTGACCTATATCTTTAATAAATATTTTTTAAAAAAATAAAACCTCATTGCCTTTTTATTAAAGCTAGCAGGGCAGAGAAAAAATTAGATTTGTCTTGTTTTAGGGGCAATTGCAAACAGAAAGGACCAAAACTTTATTTATTGACTCTGTGCAAATGATCTGTTCTGTTATTGCCAACTGACAAAACAAATCCTTACACTTAAGACTGTTTTTTTTTTTTTTTTAAATGCCTGGACACACACAGACCCGAACAGAGACACGCATCTGCATGCATTCTTAGCATTTTGTGAAAAAAACAACAACACTGTATTCAAATAAGATCAATGGCTATGTTAGTAGTGGAAAGAACCTTCTCTTTAATTAGAACGTAAGAGCTCAATAGAACAATGAAAACAGTTACTGCTGATTTCCATCTCTGTTTAGTAAATATGACTGTGCTGGAGATAATGTTAAATGTTATTTATTTCTGCAATTTCTCAGAGTCTGTAATGGTTTGCCGGGGCTGACGCTGTCCAGACATAGGGAAGAAAGCTGCTTTTAAAGCAAAACTTTCTTGATAGAAAACAAAGAAAGAAAGACAAGAATTTCCCCCCCACCACTCTGCATTTTACCGATTTATTTAGAAGAGCATTTTCTATCCAGTACAGAGATGGCCTTTCTTAAACTAAAACAGAGCTTTTAAATAAATCTGTATTTTAAATCTAGCAATGGCAATAGCACTTAGAATTATATGTTGCATCACAGTGCTTTACAGTCCTCTCTAAGCGGTTTACAGAGTCAGCCTGTTGCCCCCAACAATCTGAGTCCTCATTTTACCCACCTCGGAAGGATGGAAGGCTGAGTCAACCTAGAGTCGGTTAGGATCGAACTGCTGGCAGTCGGCAGAGTTAGCCTGCAATATTGCATTCCAACCACTGCGTCCCCATGGCTCCTGATCATGAAAGAGCCAAGGTGGCGCGGTGGTTAGAGTGCAGTACTGCAGCTACTTCAGCTGACTGCTAGTTCAGCAGATCAGCGGATCAAATCTCACCGGCTCAAGGCTGACTAAGCCTTCCATCCTTCCGAGGTGGGTAAAATGAGGACCCAGATTGTTGGGGGCAATATGCTATTTAGTATACTGTCTTTGGTGTAAGCCGCCCAGAGTCCTCGGAGAGTGGGCAGCATAGAAATATGATAAATAAATGAATGAATGAATGAATGAATGAATGAATGTATTAAGTATTTGAGATAGTTTATACCAATACTGGGCAGTTTAAAATATGATTTGACACTTTTGAAAATAATTCAATATCTGTAGAATAAAATCCTTATTTTCTTGATGATGCAGATGACAGATTTCAAAGAAGAGGTGAGATTGAAATTTGAGAAATCCACTTTTACAGCTCAGTCACTGGCTATCTTAAAATTAGTTCTCATTTTCTAAATTAGTTCTCTCTCTTTCTGTATGTGGGTGGGTGAATGGATGGTGGTGTGGTCCGCCAGCAGCCTGCGGAGCTGGCAGAGGAGTCGGACAGTGAGAAGGCTGGGGAAGACTATAGGCCAGTCCTGGAGTCTGGGGAAGGCTCTGATGAGGGCTCTGTGTTGCAGGCAGAGATGGGGTCAGGGCCATCTGGGAGTGATGTGCGGACTCCGGAGTCTCCAGAGTTGGACATCAGAGAGGCAGAGGAACAGGAAAAGCCTGTTCCTAGTGCACGCATGCGCAGAGCTGCCAGAAAGCAAGAACAGTTAAAACAAAAGGGACGACTCGGGAGTAAGGCCTGGAGATGATTGGCCCCTCCCATAAGGTTTAAAAGAGGAGCAAAGACATGTGGGCCCTTTGCAGGAAAGCACCGTTGTTAATTCTGTTCCCAGTTGGCATCTCTGTTTGATTCTGGACTCCGTGTGGCTTTGCCAAGTAGGTCTTTGGCAGCGTGTCAAAGGAGATAAAGGTTGGTGATTATCCTGAAGGACTTCTCCCGAAGGACTTTTTGCAACTAATTGGGACTCAGCTGTGAATGAAAGTAATTCACAACTGTTGCAATAAAAGAGGTTTTTGGGACTACTCATGTGTTTTAATGACTAGATAGATAGATAGATAGATAGATAGATAGATAGATAGATAGATAGACAGACAGACAGACAGACAGACAGACAGACAGACAGACAGATGATTGATAGGTAGCAGTGGTGGATTGCCTCCGGTTCACACCGGTTCTATAGAACCAATAGTAAAACCGGCAGGAGCAAAGTGAGCGCGTACAGCCCCATTGCGAACCAGTAGTAAAGGTAAGTAGAACCCACCCCTGATAGGTAGATAGATAGATAGACAGATGATAGATGGAGAGAGAGAAAGATGGACAGAGGGAGGGAGGGGGAGAGAGGGAGAGAGGGAGATAGTATCCAAAGTAGGATTATTTGTGACTTGAGAAAGAATTCTGGGTTGATTTTTCTTGATGATCCATTTGAAGACACATAAGATGCTTAATATCCAACTTGCCATATGCATAGAATCATTTCTTGACCTTGGAGTCTATACAGGGCTTTGAAAGAGAGGGATCTGTTTTAATGATGCACGCAGAATTGCTGTACCAACAGGGATATATCATTCAAGGAAAGATGAATTGGGAATGTAAGGAACAAGATTCAGTTGACACAATTACTTGGCAGTCCAAGATATTGCAATATCTCTGGAAGCTGACCTGGTATTTATTGCAAAACGAAGTTCTAACTGGACCTTTTAAAATGTATCAGAATGCTAGCTGGCACAGAGCAACATAGCTTCAGTACAAAGTGTTTTGCCAGGAACTACAACCCACAAGTACACTTCGCCTATGCAAACAATAAATACTGCAACAATGCTGAAAAAAAATAATCATTCATCATCAGCACTAAGGATGGTGAAACTTGTTATTTAGAAGACGTCTTTGGTCCTATACCAGTGATGGCTAACCAGGAGCACGGGGGGCCGCGCACGCACGTGCCCACATCCATAGTTCAATGCCCCCTGCCCCGCCCCCCACGCATGCACGTGGGACCCCCCCACACACTCCCCTCGCTTTTGTCACGTGACAGGAAAAAGGTTACTAGTGGGCCCAGTAGGCCTGTTTTTCGCCCTCCCCAGGCTTCAGAAGCTTCCCTGGAGCCTGGGGAGGGCAAAAACGGCCTCCCCGACTCTCCCAGAGGCCCTCCAGAGGCTGGAAACGGCCCATTTACCAACTTCCAGTGGGCCCAGAAGGCCTGAAAATCAGCTGGCCGGCACATGCATGTGCGCTGGAGCTGAGCTAGGGCAATGCTCACGTGCCCACAGATATGGCTCTGTGTGCCACCTGTGGCACGCGTGCCATGGTTTGCCATCACGGCCCTATACTATTTCCTGACACTTGATACCTTGCAGCAAGTTTTAATACAGACCAAAGCTGTTAGAAAATTAAAGATAAGAATATAAGAATATCCAAATCATGCAAAGAGTTACAAGGGGGGAGAAAAACCAGAAAATGGTTAGACATCTAGGAAAATGAGGGGTGCTTGGTGCTCTCTGAGCTTGCTTGTTTTCTTGCAGGCATTTTATTACCAAACTAGGTAATATCATCCATGCTAGTAGGGAGTGGGGTTTGCTCTCATTTTATATACTAGTGGCTAGTTGGCTCATGAAACGTCTGCAAACAAACAATCAAACTCAGAGAATACCAAGGACCCCCCATTTCAATCCTGAGCTACAAATATTCTCCTTTAAATGAGACAAAGCCTAATTTATTATGAATAATTATAGGACATCTTGTGTCTCTTCAGATGTTATCAATGACTCAGCAACTACAGTCAATGGTAAAGGGCTAAGACTGTGGTTCAGGAATGCCTGGAGCAATCAATAAAGATTAGTCTTTTTAAGGTATTGCTGTCACGGTCCCAAGTAATACATCTGCAGCAATGAGGCAGGCACATTCCTGCCTTGAATATGGCATATTCCTTGGCATAGTTCCAATGTAGGCATATTCCTCAAAGAACATTTTATTGGGACATATCAAATTGGCACAGACTTGGTGGAAAACCGGCTCTAAGTTCCTGCCGATTTTACACCCAATTAAAAGTGAAACTTTGTTATTTTCCCTCAGAGTCTCCAGTCACATGGTCCAATCAGCATACAGTCCAGTTGCTAGGTGACCTCAGTCCAGGGGTGGGTTCTACTTTATCTTTACTACCGGTTCACATCGTGCGTGCGCACACACACTTCTGCGCATGCGCAAATCACCTATGATGACATCTGGGTCAGTGGGCGGAGCCTCTTGCCAGTTTTACTACTGGTTCTTGTGAAACGGTCCGAACTGGAGCCGCCCTGAGTCTTCGGAGAGGGGCAGCATATAAATTGAATTAATTAAATTAAATTAAATTAAACCCACCACTGCCTCAGTCTCCACTTTTCGAACACCAGCAGGAACGTCCTTGATTCCCAGGGGAAAGAATTTTTTTTTTTTTTGCTACAACACCTCAGTCCTGAAGCAATGCAAAAAAAAACCCTCCTTAGAGGAAAGCTACAAAGAAAATGGCCACAGTTAGGCCAGCTTCAGGGTTGACAGTTGCATAATTTCTTAGCTTGGTAGATGGATAAATATTCACTTTTCAACTCTGACAATGTCAGTATTTTCAGCTCAGAAAACTGGCTTAAGTGGATGATGTGGTTAGAGAAATGGAGGCCAACAGTATCATTTCATCATAAACTTTAGTATAATTATTCAGTGGCTTCACATTCTGTTCAGGAATTCAAGGCACTATATGTAGCACCGCTTCCTCTTATCTCTCCCCAACAAAGGCCATCCTACGAGGTAGGTTGAGCTGAGAATGATTGGGTCAAAATCACTCTGGCTAAGGATGTACCTGGCCTCACCTGTGTCAACCCAACACAATTCTGCTACTCCACAGTGGCGGCGTGGTGGCTTAGTGGCTAAGACCCTGTAGGTTTGTCAGCTGAAAACCAGAAGCCAAGGTTCGAGATCTGAGCACCATGTGATGGAGTGAGCTCCCATCCTCACCGCAGCTCTTCCCAACCTAGCAGTTTGGAAGCATGGAAATGTGAGTAGATAAATAGGTACCACTTTGGTGGGAAAGTAACAGTGCCGTGTGATGTCATGCTGGCCTCATGACTGCAGAAATGTCTTTGGACAGTGCTGTCCA